CTCTGGAATCTTTAGCATGATGAAGAATGTTTTGTTTTATGATTATTCAGGTATTTCATTTTCATCTTCATCAATGTAAGTTACTAAAAAGAGTAGAGGTGAAAATAAAACTAAATGCGTTCGTAAGTGATGAACTTACTTAGGTCGGATGCGGTGGTGCACACCTGCAATCCCAACACTCGGAGGCAGGAGTGTTTTAACTCTCAGGCCATTCATGACTACATAAGAAGACTCAGTCTCAAAAATACAAAACAAACAAATGTATTCATTCTGTTGATGGCTATAATTAAATATAACAATCAGTGTTCATGAAAGTTAAAGCCTGGACACAGTCAGGAACTACAAGCAGAAATACTTCTTTGCTTAGTAAAACAGCATAAAATAGAGAAGCTTATGTACATTGTGATAAATGGCTTTTCTGGTTTTATACCAAAGGAGTCTCAGTCACCACTGAATAGAGACTAAGAGAAGAACCACAGGGGAAAACGGGGAGAACATGAGCTTGTTTGTTTAACTGAATCTGGAGTTTAACTAGGTACCACATGCCAGGAGGGGTGATAGGAAACAGTGTAATCACATACAGGATGTGATCACAAGCAGCTTCCTTGAACCTTCCAGTTCAGTGTTGTCAAAGACCATGGTGAGAAAATGATGTCATATTCCAGAATGGAGGTGAGACTAGTAAATGAGCATATGAGCCCACATCTTCAAGTCTCTGGGAGACAGGCATGGGCATGAAGTCATTCCCTCCAGTCTATGTCCCACAGGAGAGGAATGTTGTCATACTCCATCTGCAAAAGGGAAGCCCAACTGTACTCAGAGCCCCTGGGACAATGAGCTCTGTGTTGCTTGTGCTCTAATGACTGTTAGCTAATTTATTTTTAAAGAGAGCTGAATGAAAAGCACACAAAGTTGGGGGCCAAGAACCGGAAGCTGGCACCCTGTGCTTATTACAGCTCCCCTGGCTCCACGCCAGCCTCACAGGCTCACCCCACACAGGGGGTCACCTCATCCACCCTGAGAAAAGCGTGGGCTGAGGAACTAGGTGCTCACAGACTTTCCCCTCAAATTTCATGTGTCATGCGTGACCAAGCAGCCTCGTTCACTGGCTTTGAAACGCCATCCTGAATAAACTCAGTGTTTGTCATGAAAAGACAAATAAAGCAAAATAAGTGGGGTTGGCCTAGCAACTAGTCAGCAAAGTGCTGTCTTGTAAGAATGAGTACCTGTGTTTCATCTCCCAAACCCACATTTTTTAACATTTTTATAATTTTAATTTTTAAAATGTGTTTAGTATCTCAGACAATGTTTAGCTTTTAAATTATGCTTTTCTGCTAGCTTTTATAGCAACTAAATCCAGATGTAAAGAATAACAACCCTTTCTTTGCTTTCTTAATTCTTCCAAAAATATTTTATTTATTATTTTTATTTTTATGTGTATGAGTTATTGCCTGCATGTGTGTAAGTGCATTTGTGTCATGCAATGTCCATGGAAGTCAGACGAGGGCGTCGGATTCCCCTGGAACTGGAGTTACAGACAGTTGTCAGCCACCATGTGGATGCTGGGAATTGAACCTGGGTCCTCTGTGAGAGTAGCCAGTGTTCTTAATCATTAAGCCATCTCTCCAGCCCCATTGTTATTTATTAATACTTGATTCAATTCATCATTTTCATAGTAAAATAAATAAGATATAAAAGATATAAAAATCTTAAGGGGTGGAAAGATGGCTGAGCAGATGGGAGCACAGGCTGCTCTTGTGGAGGACATGGATTTGGTTTTCAGCACCCACATGGTGGCTAACAACAGTCTGTAACTCCAGTTCCAGAAGATTCAGTGCCTTCTTCTGTCATCTGGGGGCACTGCACAACATGGGTGCACTTATACACATGTAGGCAATACACTCATAAACGTAAAATAAAATTTTTTTTAAATCTTAAGATTTTTCTGGGGAAGAGTATTTACAGTATTTAGAATATGTCTAGATTATTTTTTCAATTTCTTTTACCTTAAAAAATTTTTATTGAATTTTTGCAACAATATACTATGATCATATTTAGACCCCTTCCCCTTTCTGCACCTCCCCTTACTAGTCCCTCCTCAATTTTATATATATTAAGGCCTACACAGTCTAATTTGTGTCTTTAAATGCCCTTTGGTAGGGTCTATGTACTGGCCTGGTTAACCTACCCAGCATCCCATCCTTAAAGAAAACTGACTCTCCCTCTCCCAGCAGCTATAGTTGCCAATAGTTCCTCAGCAAGGGCTGGGGCTTCTTTCCCTACTTCTGTGCTGTAAGTTTTTTCTGGCTTGAGCTTACATGGGTCTTGTACATGCTGTCTCCTTTGCTTTGAGCTCATTTGAGTAACTGACCAGCTGGAAAACTCTGTTTCTTTGTGGTTGCCCACCACCCCTGGCTCTTACAATCTTTCCACACCCTCTTCCACAATGATCCCTGAGCCTTGGGAGGCAGAAGTTTGATTATGGTGTCCTATTCATGGATAAGCTCCCTATAGCCTCTTGTTCTCTGCACATTGGCCAGTTGTGGCCTACCCTACATTTTTAAAAGTACAGCATGATACTTTCATAATACTGGAAGTTGCTATGCAGGCTTCTGGGGCTGGTGGGGGTACATATCAACAGTCTTACAGTTGTGAATCCTGTGAACTTCAGTAATTACCAGAGTGGCAAGATATGCCCATGGATGCAATAGTGGCAAGAATGTTATGGGAGTAACCAACCACTTTCTGCTCTGATTAAGGCCCACTCCATAGAAGAAAACTCATACCTGGTACTGTAAATCTGGCCAAGACCCAGGGTTGCGGAGCACACAAACCCCAGGGGTGGCCCTACTACTGTTATTCTTCTAAATGGACATAAATAGTATCACACTGCCCTCCATTTACCCATATACTAGTGCAGCTCTCAGACCTCATCAGAGAAGATTCTTTGTGCCATGGACAGTAGTTAATGCAGCAACTCACAACTGAACAAAGTACAAAGTTTAAGTGACTGTGGACTGCTCAGCCACAAATGGCACATTGATACCATCTCTCCTTAAAGGCTCAGAGATTGCCACAGAAGATGGGGTGAAAAAATTGTAAGAGCCAGAGGTCATGGAGGACTGGAGCAAAACAGTGTCTTGTGGACATGACAGGACTGTTACACTCATGAACCCAGAGCATCTACGGCTGCCCACATAAGACCTGCGCAACATCAAGCCAGTCACCATTCTAGCATGGGGGATGGAGGAGCCCATGAGCCCCTACTTCTGAGGAGTGACTGATTGTTGATGGTTTCTGGGGGAGGGAGAAACAGTTTTTTAAGGGTGTGGTCCCTGGCTGGTCAACCATGCCCCAGTGGATAACTCCATACCTAGGATTATATGGTCAGCACAAATTGGACTTGATGGGTCATCAAGCCAGTCACCATTCTAGCATGGGGGATGGAGGAGCCCATGAGCCCCTACTTCTGAGGAGTGACTGATTGTTGATGGTTTCTGGGGGAGGGAGAAACAGTTTTTTAAGGGTGTGGTCCCTGGCTGGTCAACCATGCCCCAGTGGATAACTCCATACCTAGGATTATATGGTCAGCACAAATTGGACTTGATGGGTTATTTAAAAAAAAAAAAAAAAGGAGACACAAAGTTGAGAGGAAGTGGGAAGGTGGGGAGTGAATCTTGGGGGAATTAGGTGGAGGAGTAAGGAGTGAATATGAACAAAATACTTTGCATGAAATCAAAGATTACTAAAAATATTATAGCAAAAAATAGGCCATCACCAACTTCTGATACAGAAACTTCTGTTCACAAGCCCACCCCAAAAGAATTATCTTCTAGCTTCAGTCATCATAAATTAATTTTTCTTATTTTAGAACTTTTAATGAATAGAATCATACCGTTCATTAAAAAAAAGAAAGTCCAGCATGGTGGTATGTACTTGAAATCTCAATTCTGGGGAGGAGATGAGCAGATCTCTTGGGCTTGCTGGCCAGCCAGTCTCACCTGGGTGAGTCCCAGGTCAGTGAGAAACCCTGTCTCTCAAAAACAAGATGGACGGTACCTGAAGAATAACAACCGAGGTTGCCCTCTGGTCTCCACATGCACTCACACACATGTGCATCCACACCCAGGCACACAAGTGCTCCCCCACACACATGAACACACACACACACACACACACACGCAAAGAATCCTCATGCTTATTCTCTGAGGAAATACAGAAATGTAAGGAATTAGGGTCAAGGAATGTGACACAAAGACTTAGCAGAGCTATTCTGAAACTGCCTTGAAAAGACCCACTGGGGTGGCCTAAGGCTGCTGTCTGCTGCTTGGATTGAGGGAAGTTTCTCACCATCCCCTGATAAGGATGAGCCACTGTGCCTCATCCACGTGTACAAACAATGGGGCTAGCATCTCCTTTCCTTTTGAGATTCTGGACATTTGGTACACACAAGGCAGAGGCTGTCTACATGGCAAACCCCCAGTGAAAATTCCTGGCATGAAAGGTCTGATGGGCATCCCAAGCCAACGTTTCACATGCGTTGACCCAATTTACTGTTGTAGGAACTAAGTAAAGCCTGTGTGATTCCACTGGGAGAGGATTCTAAAACTTGACCCCAAATTCCTCTGGATTTTGTTATAATAAATCACTTTATTTAATGGATATCCATCATTTTAACTGTATGCTGAGTCCTGTGAGCTCTGAAAAATCACTGGCTGATTTTGGGGAATCCTATATTCAGAAAATTATTCCTGAATCCTTATTTGTGGTAAGTCATAGAATAATTTTTTTCTAATCCTAAAATTATGCTACCACAGCAAAAAACTTGAAAAGTATAGAAAATTGTAACAAAACAAAACGAACTCTGTGCTGGATAGATTTAGTATCAACTTGACACACCTGGGTCAAGGGAGACTCAATTGAGGAATTGCCTCCATTGGATGGACCCATGGCCATGTCTGTGGGGTATTCTCTTGATTGGTGAGTGATGTGGGAGGGCCCAGCCCACTGTGGGTGATGCCACCCCGGGCAGGTGGGCCTACGTGTATAAAAAAGCAGGCTGAGCACGGGCCAGGGGAGCAAG